CAGCAGATGTGGCCACGTGGGTATCAGGCTGACCCAGCGCTGCCACATCAACAGCTCAACAACCCGATCCACAGCCCAGCATCCACCTCATCAGGGGACAGCCTGGGTGGGAGGGAGTGGGGCACTCAGATGGGAGTGAGACCGGTTGGGAAGCTAATGAGTAACCCGGGTTAAATATAACTCAACATCAGACATTCAATCTGTGTTTACCCTCAGTTTAGTCAATATCTCATTGTGTAACATTGCCCCTCACTGGCCACCATCATTACGCACCAGCTGTGATGAGAGCTGAACACACTGTGTGAGGTGAGCGCCCAGGTCAGGCCCATCACTGCCGCCCAGCCCGAGACTGACCACATCAAGGAACCAGTCAGAAACACGCCCCTACCACCACCCTCTCCTCCCCACAGCCTCTCCACGTGAGGGTAAAGATCCAGGAGGTTGTTGTTTTCCTAGCCAACAAGCTCCTGATAACCAGACCTTCACCATACGCCTGCTGTGGAGTTTACTGCTCAGCTTGCCTGAAACAGTCACTCAATAATAATAATTCTTATGTGTGATCCAGTGCCTGTCACTGGCAACATGGCAAAGCTCCCAACGGAATCACTCCCCTCGGGCTGCCCAGACCCTCAGCCACACACACAGCAACAACAACATTCATACAGTACCTTTCAGAGTGCCATTGCTAATATCAGCAAATAGAAGTGTCACTGCTAATAGAGGTATCATAGAATAATACAGTACAAAAGGAGGCCATTCGGCCCATTGTGTCTGTGCTGACTCTTTGAAAGAGCTGTCCAAATTAATCCCACTCCCCCACTCTCTCCCCATACCCCTGCAAATTTGTCCTCCTCAAATATCTTTCTACTCCTCGCTTGAAAGTTGTTATCAAATCAGGATCGATAGCGGTGTCATTGCTAATATCAGCCTGTATAGAGGTCCCAAGGTGCTGGACAATGAAGGGTTTGCACCCAAACTGGGGGTGGATTCGGAAGGGGTGGGGCCAAATTGGGGTGGGAGGGATGACCAAAGGCGCAGTAAAAGGGGAAGGACTTGATACAGACCTTAAAGGAGGGGAGGAAAGGGGCGAAGTGAAGGGTGGAGTTCCAGAGGGTGAAAGCAGAAAGGCTGAAGAGCCGATGCTGATGGTGGGACTGGCAGTTCGGTGGCTGTGGAGCAGGCCAGTGCCTGCTGAGCAAAGGGAGCAGGTGGCTTGGTAAGGATTCAGAAGGTCACAGAGGGAGAGAGATTCAAGGTCGTGAGGGGATTTAAAAGTGAGGACGAAGGTCTTGAACTCTATCTTCTAGGGGATGGGGAGCCAGTGGAGCCGGGCGAGGATGGGGGTGATCGGCTCATGGAGCCTGGTGCCGGAGAGGACACAAGGTGCAAAGTTCTGAATGGTAATTTGTTGTTGTCTGCAGCTTGTGGGGGGAAGAGTTGGGAAGTCCAACAAGCAGAGAAATGGTGTAGTCAAGACAGGATGTGATAAAAGTATGGATGAAGGTTTCAGCGGACTGAGGGGAGATGTTGTGGCAGAGGCGGGAAATGTTGCGGAAGTGGGTAGAGCTGAATGGGTCTGGACACAGATGTAGAGTTGGAAGGTCAGTTGAGGGTCAAACAAGATGCCAAGATTCTGGGGGGTGCATCCATGAATAATGATGCTGTCAGCGCCTGAGGTGTGGAGGCAGAGGAATAGAATTGGGTGTCATCCACATACATGTGGAAGCTAGCCCCATGCCTGAGGATGACATCTCAGAGTCCCTTGCCCTCACTCCCTCCATCCCACAGTCCCTCCCACTCACCATCCCACAGTCCCTCCCCTTCACCATCCCACAGTCCCACCGCATGGTGACCAGCGAGTCTTATCATCATTGAATTGTGGTTACATTGTCCACAGTATAAAGCTATTTACTTTGTTTACATACTGAAACATTTGGAAGCTCTCTGGTTGTAGGGCTGTTCGGTTCCAGCAGTGTGCGATATGCAAAGCAGGAGTTGATGCTGTGGAAAGTATGTAAATACGATCAGACCCTAGATTAATGTCAGGACTATTGACACCTCACGCTCAATTTGTAATCCAATTTCACATGGTACTCACTGCCATTGTCACCATCAGAAACCCCAGGGGCTCAGTGACCATCTAATCATCTAATCACTCCCCCATCAGCACCTCCATTGCCGCAATCTTATGCAAAGAATATTATAGGATTATTATTATAACAATCAACGACACACGCATAGCTGGATTGGAGGCTGAACAAGGGAGACATGGTGTGTGGTGGGCGGGGGTGTAGTGGGGGTGGGTGGTGGGGGGTTTACCAGCCTGATCGCGGGGCAGTGCGGAGGTGAGAGTTAGGCCCATGTCAGCTGAGCGAGGCACCGGGCAGTGGGGTACAAGCAGGTCAGAGAGGTGGGGAGGTGCGGGTTGGGGGGGGTGGGGGAGGACAAGCGTTATATGAAAGGGAGAGGATCTTGAAATCAATCGCGGTGATGTTTTGGATGAGCTGGTCCTTGTGGATTGCGGAACCAGGGAGACTGACGGGTGTTTGAGAAATCAAGGCGGAAGGTGACAAAGGTGTGGATGAAGGTTTCAGTAGCATCGGGTGTAAGATGGGGTAGAGGCTGGGGAGGGTAAGGAGGTCAGAGCTGGGTCCACACAGTTGAGGGATACAGCCAAGTGGATTTGATCTGTTTTGATCCTTGGTTTAACAGCTCATTTGAAGGATGGCACCTCTAACAAGGCGTCTCCCCAGCACTGCAGGGTCAGCAGAGACAGCCTGTCCTCACCGTGACTTAAACCACAACCTTGTGACTGAGGTGAGAGTTTGCAAGTGAGTGTGTGAGCGAGTGTGCAAGACCATGTGCATGAGTGTGCAAGGCTGTGTAACTGAGTGTGTCAGGGTACGTGAGCGAGTGTGTCTCAGGAGGTGTGAGCGAGCGTGTCAGGCGTGTGAGCGAGCGTGTCAGGCGGTGTGAGCGAGGTGCGGTGTGAGCGAGCGTGTCAGGCGGTGTGAGCGAGCGTGTCAGGCGGTGTGAGCGAGCGTGTCAGGCAGTGTGAGCGAGCGTGTCAGGTGGTGTGAGGGAGAGTAAATGACCACCCAGAAGAATGTATGAATCAGCCTTACTGGAATGAGGAAGTCAGTGTGAAAGAACTGCACTGACCGGTTTGCCCACTTTGTGCCCTCGGGATTTACAAGATGTGGTCATGGCTTTCAGGCTTTCACCCTCCGTAAACGGAAACTAGTTTGCATCTTGTAAGTCGGAAAGTAGTGTTATTCAGAGCGATTCTGAGTCCCCGCCTCAGACTCCCTCAGAATAGCAGCTCGTCACACTTGGCTGCAAACATATTAGACAGAAACACGACATGGTCACAACATGGAGCACACAATCTCTCTAACTGCTCTAACTGCTGCTTTCGCTCCCCACATTCCCAGCTCTCTCTCTCAGACTATACAGCGGTGTCACTGCTAACATCAGACTATATTGAAGAGTCACACTGTGAACGCAACAACAGATTGCACTTATATATTATTTATATTATAGTAACAATAATCGTACCAGCATTTCATACAGCGCCTCATCATCTCATTTGAGACGTCTCAAAGGACTTCACGGAATGTACTGTGGAGATGAGTGACTGTGCATTTTGTGAGCGAAACGTGAGATATTTTGTGGTCGGAATGTGAAATAGTCACTATTTTTACTGTCTACAAAACTGACTAGATAGCCAAAAGGTGTGTCTTGTGTAGAAATGTTGAGCTGACATTGCAGTGTAGCAGTGGTGGGGGTGGGGGGGGGGGGGGGGGGGAGCGCTAAGGTTACCTAAGTAGCCGTTTTCAGATGAGATGTTAAACTGAGGTCAGGTCTGTGCCTGTCCAGGTGGTCATTAGAGACTGCGCGGCGCTATTCGAAAAGAAAATAGGAGTTGCTCTCTCCTGGGTCCTGGCTATCGATGCCCCGGATAAAACCGCTCCCTCGCTCACCCCCGTGGCTGTCGGTGGGAAATCGGTTGTCAAGTTTGCCAAAAAAACTATTGCCGTTTCCCGTAAATACCATGAAGGGCTGAGGTATTTGTTGACTTGCTAAGGTGTTGCATGAAATGTTATCTTATTATTTCCCAGGAATGCAGCAGGTGGTTTGCTGACTGGGTAGGGCTGACCTGCTTGAGTGCCTCACTGTGCTGAGGGCTGGACTGTGCTGGGGTTGGGGGGGCTGTTCTGTCCCAGGCTATGCTTGAGGGCTGTGCTGGGCTGTGCTGGGGTTGGGTGGGGGGCTGTTCTGTCCCAGGCTATGCTTGAGGGCTGTGCTGGGGTTGGGGTGGGGGGCTGTTCTGTCCCAGGCTATGCTTGAGGGCTGTGCTGGGCTGTGCTGGGGTTGGGGGCTGTTCTGTCCCAGGCTATGCTTGAGGGCTGTGCTGGGGTTGGGGTGGGGGGCTGTTCTGTCCCAGGCTATGCTTGAGGGCTGTGCTGGGATTGGGGTGGGGGGCTGTTCTGTCCCAGGCTATGCTTGAGGGCTGTGCTGGGGTGGGA